GCCTTAGCTTCCCTGGCAAAGCCCAGGGAACTCAATTAGAAATGCCCATAGATTCACATAGTCAGAATACTTCAGTAAACTTTGGTGGCATTTAAAGCAAGTCCTGCCACATCTTTCTTCACTTAGCCTGCCTTTCTTTCTCTTATGAGATGTCTGCTGTACTTTGGATTTATGTTCAACCTAGAAAACGGAGGCTTGGGGTTTTTAATATAGAATGTTCATGGAAGGAGGTTCAAAGACTTGTAACTCTAAGGGAGATAAATCTGGGTCCTTTGTTTTCTCTATGCACGTGCTCCATAACAGAAACACATGTGACAGTCAAGTCCATCAACAGGATTGTGTCTTTCTGTACTGGCCACAGGTGACAGGCTGCTGTTCTCAGCTCCTATCCAAAGATCCACAAAATGATCAGATACATGCTTCTCTGGTCCCAATCACCCTCGTTACTGCATCTTTTAAAAAGTCTCGTTATCTGATGTAGAAGATTTACCACCCCATTTATGTAAAGGTCATGGCAAAACCTTTTAGGTCTCCCAACCCCTGACTGACTGTAGGAGATGCTGCCAGTGGAGAGTTAGCTGTGCCCTGCAGCTTTGGTTTCAGAGGCCCATACTTGAAGTGACAGATGTTTTTTATATTGAGTTCTCTCAAAGGTCTTGTCATTCTTATCTTGAAAAGAACCCAGCAGAAGGGAATTGCTTTCAGGTGGTATAATCAGTTGGAAAAGGTGGTTAGGGGACCATCAGCGCTCCAATCCATATTCTACCCCTGGGGAAAGTCTCTCGGTTCCTTTCTTCATAATGAGACAAGATTTTCTAGGCCCTTGTGTGGGATGATGCATCTGTTTGTGCTTCCTTTTCAATATGGTCATAACGCAACCGTTTCTGGTGCCCTAAATAAGCTCTCCATATTGATGAGAACAGTCACCCCTGTCTGTTACTTGTACAGTGTCTGTGTTTGTAACAAATGAACTCTTCCTGCCAGGGGACCTGTCATAGTCAAGGATGAGGAAAATGGTGCTTGATGTGAGGGGATGTGACTGAATGCGGAATCATTACGCACAGCAGGGAAAAAAATTATTCAGTTATCTGAACACTTTTTTTTTTCCCTATTAACACACTTTGGCATTTATATGTCATGTGACTAAAGCCAAATTCCGTGATTTACATGTAGAAGGGAATAATATTGTCTGGCATGAGTCCAAAGGCAGTTATAAAATATTGTAGGAATGTCCTTATTTAAAAACACACATAAACTGTGAGTCCATTTGACTTTTTGAGTTGTTAGCAAGACGTCAGGATCTTAAAATGGATATTATCAAATGGATAATACTAAACAAGTGTCTCAAGTTCAAATTTATCATAGGGACGCCTTATCCGCATAGGGGCCATTTGAATGTTGTTAAAATATGTGTTCAGTTCGTCCACTTCATTTTATTATTTTCTTCTAAGTGGCACTGGAGGTAGGATGTCTTGGTACATTTATATAAAACATTTTTGTGACCCCACTGAAATACGTTTACACAAGATTTTGTGATACATAAATACAGATGTCAAGATTAACTGCAGTTGCAGATACAAGGGAGCTTTTTCCTTCTACCTTGGTATTTTGTCAAAATACACAAAAACATATCATAAATGTTGATGATAAGATGTAGGCATATTAAAGATTTACTTATGGTCTTTCCACCATAATAAAGAACAAGATTTATGACATGACGAAGGTAAGATTAAATGTTCTCTACTTCCCATCACTTTAGACCACTTACAATTCATGGAACTCACTTACTAAAAGTGCAGATAGTTACAGTAAGTGAATTGTTAAAAATTTATACTTCTCTTTAAATAGCTATAGGTTCTTGATACAGTTAAAAAAATGTTGATTAGCTGGCATGAGATTGACTTTTTCTCAGTTACTCAATATGAACCTTCTTTCTAAAGCACTTGAAATGAGTAATCAAAAATCTCTGTTCTTCAAGTAAAGCTTTAGTCCTAAATACATCCCATCAGCTGGCTTGGGACCACCTTCTTAAAGAATGAATCTGATAAAGGGACTTGGGGAATTTGGCTAATCACACTATTACACAAGATGATACAGAAGCCCTAGAGATGTGTAGTCCAGTGAAGTAGCCATTCACCATGTTACCCTGGATGGTGAGGACCTGAAATAAAGGTACAATAACTGAAGAAGTGAACTAGTAGTTTTACTTTGTTTTGACTCGCTTAAATGTAAACTTTAAAGCTGTAGCAGTATAAGATATTTTCTCCATTAAATGCAACCTTAATATTTTGGTAAGTTTACATTTCACCTGAACCACTGAAAAACTAGCAGTTGTTATATGCTGCAAGTGTAAAACACACACTGGACTTTGGAGACAGTTAAAAAAAAAAGAAAATGTAAAATATTTTATGAATATTTTTATATCAATTACATGTTGAAATGATAATTTTGATATTTAGGGTTAAATAAAATATATTATTAAAATTGATGCCCCATGTTGCTTTTTACTTTTTTTTTTTGATAGGACTACTATAAAATTTTAAATGAAACGTGTGCCTTGCATTATATTTCTATTGGACAGCACTGATCTACAGCAGAGTTACAGAAGGTTCCAGCTAGGAGCTCATGATAATACCTACAGAGCTTCAGAAACATAGGGTGTTTAATAAATCTCATTGGAAATGAATGAAAAATTCTTACTATAAATTGGAGTTTGGTCATTAGAAACTCCAGATATTAACACCTATTTCTCTCATTATTTATTGGCCAATGGTTTTTTTTATAATCTAAGCTACTTGTGGGCTTGTCAAAATGAGCTGCCAAATATAAATATTAGGAATAACAGAGTTTGGGTATTTCTCGACATTTTATTTCTTGGCCACCTTCCCCCAACCATCCTGGGGCTTCCACTGGATTAATACAAATTTAAATTTAAATAAACATTGGTCCTATAAAAGTGATCAGTTAAGTCCTTTCCTCTTACACTTGCCTGTGGAGTTCAAGTTTCTAATTTATACAGAGTTTGAGTTTCAGAAAAAGTTTGGCTTTACCTGCTTCCACTTGCAGATGAAATGCCCCATTGCCATTTATAGACATGATATGTCACCTGACTCCCTAAGTAACATGTTCTCAGAAAGACCTCTCTTGCCAAGACCTAGATGACTTTTCCAACAATGTGTTAACATTTGATTCACCCGCCTCTTCCTTGCAGCAGCCACCTAGCTCCTCAGCCCTGGAAATCTGAAGAAATGCTCTGGGGCACTATTGTTGTTCTGTATTTCTCCTGTCCTTAGCCTAGCGGCTTCTTGGTGGTGCAGTGAGAAACCTTGATAAGCTTAGGAAAACAACAGGGGCAACAGAAGATCTCTGCAGCTGCACCCACTTGAAGTTGGGAAGATAAGATCGGGCAGCCTCAGTACCACACGGAAGTCCTAATAAACACAGCCGGCAAGGAGAGCAGAATGCAGGCGCAGGAGCAACATCACTGACTCTGCCTTCCTTTAAAATTCTTTATGACCCTCCCTCTTCATTAATTATGTACAGTGACTGTCTATGACATGCATAATCCTTACGTTGAGAGTGCTCAGAGAAAGGGTATGAAGTATTTTTCAAATGAACATAATCTTACTGGGAACCAGACTGACAATCGTTTTGGTGATGGGAATTTCAGAATTTTGGAACTGGTAAGGACAGTGGTGTTCAACTACTCAGACGGTTTTAAGATTGCTGTCAGAATCTTTGGAAGTGAACACAGACAAAAAGCCAACAGATGTTGTCATTAGTCCTTATAATGACGTTCTCTGTTTCTAGGGACTCTAATAAATATATCCTGCTTAATTTAATGTTTTATTTGTACTTTTCCATCACTGCGGTTGAAAAAACCTTCAACTATCCTCATTCGATCTTATTGAGTGACCTCCCCTGCTTGTTTCTACAGAGAGACCAGTTTTATTGGTGACATTGCAAAACCTACGATAGCCAAGTGGCAAAGAAATCCAGCAAACTACTCAGTAACTATTATCTTTCCATTCCATTTCTTTTCATTAAATCAACTTAAATCATCTAATGACCCTTATTTCAACTCCTTTACTTACTTACTTACTTACTTACTTACTTACTTTATTTATTTATTTATTTATTTATTTATTTATTTATTTATTTATTTATTTATTTATTTATTTATTTAACAAACCTGGGACTGTTTCTTGTGTTATCATGAAACATTGGGGGATGATTTCAGATACCGATTAGATAAATCAGAGCAGGGAAAATTTAAAAAGTATCGTTGCCTATCTTCTTGTTAATTACCTCTCACACATGCACAAAATACAGACTGAAACTATGTTGTTTCCGCAGTAGACTTAGAACTTAGAGGGAAGAAACACTTTCGAGAAACCTCAGAATTGTCCACGGCTCCAGATTTTCTTTCTCTGAGGTCACTGTGACCAGCCTGTGAGTACACAATTACTGCCATCCACTGTAGTTGCAAAATTCTGAAATTCTCATTACTAAAACTGTATCAGTCTGCTTCCAGTCATATGAGGGTCATTTTACATTACTACTCTATTCCCTTTCTCTGAGCACCTTGTGTTAGGACTGAGCACTTATTTCATAAATGTTACGAGATGTCATTCACCAAGGGAAAGGGATTTAAACAGAAATGATCCAGGTGATCTAGTCCCCTGGAAAAATTACTTAGGCTGAAGAATCCAGGTGGCATGGTGATGCTTTGAGTCCTTGCCAATGCATTTCTTCAATATCTGTACCCTGTGTCCTGTCCTCAAAGTGTGGCAAGTAGGGTGAATGACCTCATTGTGGTCATGGAACATTGCACTTCCTCTTGATGTGTTGAATGGACAGGGGCAACACTGGCCAGGGAAGCTAACAGGCAAAGGAAGAAAGCATAATGGTTAGTAGGTTACGCCAGCATTTTTCTCACTGGGAGCATGTGTCAAGGTCCTGGTGTTGCTAACCATATGGAATCACTAGCAGTCTCTCTACCATCAATGTGGTTTAGTCTGGATACAGATGGTATTTGGGGTGGGGAATCAAGTGAATTAAGTCATCATTACATCTGCTGCACAAAAGAAGTGGACTAAGATGAAGGAGCAATTCAAAACCAAAACCTTCACAGGCTAGGAAAGGCATAGATAGGCAAGATGCTCAATCCAGTGAACAAGGCTCAAGGGAAAAAATGAACAGAGGCAGGACCCAACACTAGGGCACAGACTATGAAAACACTCATGTTTCCAGCCGGTGAGAACACCAAAGCCACCAACCTCCTGGTGGGTTAGAAAATTGTGGCCTCAAGATTTTGAGTGTGTGTCAGGACTGGACTCATGATCCTTCCAACCAATATAGTTAAAATGAGGAAGACTTGGACCAGTTTCACTGAAGCAGTGCTTACTTCTCTCTAAAACCAAAGAGGCCTGCTTTGGTGAGTAACATTTTAGATCCAAGAATATTCTTCTCTCTTCTTTGATGGAAGGTGTCAGCAGTAGGACTGGGTCTCTCCTAGGTTTTGGGGGGGACGTCTCCAGTGGCACAGGTCCCCAGCACATGGGTAGCAGGAGAGTGCTCCTGCTCACGTTGGGAGGCAGGGGTCGTTCACACGCACTGAGCGTGCAGTCCTGCTGGAAAGGTCTGGTTTTCCTCGAAGTTCCCTTGCAATAGTGGGGAATGAAATAAGCTCCAATAACAACTGAGAATTGGATTTAAGATCGAAGGCCACTCCAACACAGTGGGACAATGAGCATTTACTTCTCTCACTGCTGTTACTTTCATAAAATACAAGATGGTTGGCCTTACCTGGCTGTGATTGACAGAACAATGATGGACTATTCATTGATAGAGCACAGAGCCTAGGGACAAAGAGATGGTGACACTAGTTAGATATATGAATCCCTTAGCCCCTCTGGGCTAAGTTCCTCAGTCTTCTCATCTGTAAAATGGGAAATTAGATAAGGTGATTTCTACCCTTCCTGCACATCCAACAATCCATGGATATTCACAAGCTTGTCTCCCAGTGAGGTGAGCCCAGGTCTGTGGAGAAACATGCGTGAGCAGACTTCTGGCTTTTTGCAGCATCTCCTTTTAGCCATTTTTGCCATAAAAGTTCCAGCCCAATTTAAGATCATTCCTTGCCAGCTTGTTGGTTCCTAGTCCACCTCAATTCTATTCTAGGGTTTCGGGATTGTTTAAGTAAAACACTCACCAAATGTTTTTAATTAGACTTCCTCCCAATCTGGGAGTCTTCAGAATATGCTAAATTTGTAAGATTCCATGAGCAGGTGTTGTAAATCCTCAAATTTCCCCTGGGGTGATCGGTCTTTTCAGAAGTACCCCCAATCTTATGTTGGCCTTATTCACCAAATTATTTTCCAATTAGGGCTCACTTCCTTTATTTTCCATTTCAGATTAAAACATCGGTCATTTGGGCAACCCCAAATGTTTCCTTCTCTATCCCATTATGGGTAATAATACTAGCAATACTTCTTGGATTATTGGTTCTGGCCATTTTGACGTTGGCTTTATGGAAGGTAAGTTTATTTGCTTTCGTGTCCTTTCTGTGTAGAGAGGCTACTGAGGGGATTTAGAAGGATATACCTAGGATTTAAAAAAGCAAGGCTAGAGGCATGGTTTGGGGATTTCCAACAAAGGGGCATGAAGGAAAAATTGTGTCTTGTTTGCTTTGGCAAGGTTAATATGCTTGTGTAACTGACATTTAAGAAGACTGAGGGTGTTTCATGTCGCTTTTATCTTGGGATCTCTTGCAAATAAACATAAAGAGAGTTAGGCTGTATTAACTAAGACTTGTGATCTTCTTTCCAATATGCTTGGGGTGGTCATATTCTTATGAAGACTTCTTTTTATTGTTTAATTAATTGAGATCTTTAGTTTTTTGTTGATACAATCCTATCAGCAGTACTTTGAGATTTTTCTTTAGAAGCACCACACAGATGTAATTAATATAGTAATTAATTGATACATGGCCTTTCAATTCGACCAGATAGATCATGCATATTATAATTCCCTTGTACTTGGTTTTTGAACTTGCCAACTTGATCATCTCCATTAAGAAGCCTTAACTTACACTTTAATATGTTTTACTGAAGTTTGCGCTAGAAGTCTACAATAGGCATTAATTTCTGGCCCCAAAGCAATTGCTACTGCCAAGTTTCAGAGCTTTCAATTCCAAAATAGGAACAATGTCACAATGACATGACTGTAAGAGCAATTAATCCAGTCACATCTTCATCAACTGCTATTATTGTGGTTCTCCATAATCATAGTGTATTTTGAATAAACATGGAGCATGCTTAATAAACTGAAAAAACTTTGCCTTCTAAGTTAAATAATGGCTTAGGAAAGCCGTCGTCATCAGCTGTTTTGTGCCAGCCTGAGCCCACACAGTCTATTACATAGCCTGCCTTTAGAAATAGACTTCTGTGTTGGTCTGTTATTCATAGTAACTTTATGTCCATAAATGATGCAATAATATGTAGCCAATGATAGAATACTGCACTAGTCCTACACAGGAAAGATGACTCCACAGTTATAAGTGAAACTCAATAAAGTAGGCTTCCAAACTAATAAACACGAAGAAAGAATTAAAGTTCTAGGTTTCTAGGAAAGTCGTATTCCCCTAGACAAAATACCAATTTGACATTCAGGAAAAAGAAGATTGTAAAATCACCTCTTCCCTGTGTTGCTGATTGATCTTTGTAAGAATCACTAAGATGTTAGGTTCAAATAAAGGACCAATCTAATTTTCTCTATATACTCTAAGTTCTACCAAGCGCAGAGAGAGATGCAAACATCTCAATTCTTCCATTAGTCCATCCTGACAGAGCCTACAGTACACTTTAAGAACCTCCTTTCCCAGACGAGCAGTTTGCATTGCTGCTGTTTCCAGAAAACATGCAAAAAAGCAGAGTAGGAACTCTTGGCCAGGTTGCTGTAATCCCAAAAAACTCTACAAGGTCCATAAGTGGTTTATATAAAAGGAATGTTCTTCCACCACTATGACATGGCAGGAAGAACATGAACACTGCCTATGCAATGAATTCCTCCCTGCAGGTAAAGAACACACTGCTTTCACCTCCTAATCTGGAGAACTGAGGAGATTATATTCACAGAGCTCCAAGTTCCTTAAAAAACATCTCAAGTGAAAACACTTAGAATGAGGGGTTTCACCGATTCCCAAAACAGCCTAACTTGAGAGCCCATTTCTCTCTTTCATAGTGTGGATTCTTTGACAGAGCAAGACCCCCTCAAGATGATATGAATGACAGGGAACGATTGACCAATGAGAAGACCCCTGATGCATGAAAAGGAAAACCAACGACAAAAAAAAGAAAGAAAGAAAGAAACAACTCAAACACTGGTCCAGTTCTAAGACAAGAAGATTCATGAGGGTTCACAAAAGGTTTTCCTGTACCTGCCAGTGTTCTAAGGAATGGAAGGGCTGCGGAAGGTATCACATCTACACTGTGCTTTGTTTGAGAAGTTGCCACAGATCCCAGTGATCCTTTGGGGAAAGGAAGCATCCTCAGCGCTGCAGAAGCAGTTAACAATTGTGGAAGACGTCTTTTGCTTGAGTCACTTTGACAGACACTTGGAAATGGGTATGGGAACTGAGGTTGCTTTCCAGGTAAATCCAACAGAAGTCTCGAAGATGAAATGTCTGAATTAGGACAGAATTTAGAAGGTGCTTGAGGACCGAACCTTTCAACACTACTGTATCCATCAGAATATTTGACACCTCCCTTTGGAAAAGAAATATTTCTAATAATGTTATGGCTCAGGGAGACAACCTATGCTGTTGGTACTGTGAAAGTTCTTTGGAAACAGCAAAGATCGTCTTTGTAAGTGAGGGTAACGATTTATTTATTTATTTTCCATGGCTCTAGGCTGATACTCTAGAGGATTTGGGAATTAAGATTTGGTTCACTTGTTTTCAAAAATCACTCACCAAATTTCCTTCTGAGATAACAGTTTTGTGCAGAATACATCACTCAACAGAGCTTCTTCAGGATTTAGACAGCATGAAGGAAAACAAATTGGTATTAAAAGGCTGTTTCACTTAATACCTTGCTGCATTCTGCCTGAAATTACTTTTATCCACACTTCCCAGGGACTCACATCTGCTTATTTAAAGCTTTACAAAAATTTGCATTTTATTTCCTTTTACAAAAAAAATTAGTATTTCCATTGATTTAATTAGCAATGTATAAATTTCAAGGGACTCTCGAATCTGAGTGGTATTTAGTAGTAATCATAAAATTTCTAGAGTCCATTACTAAAATAATTAATAATAGGGGTAAGCATATTATTTTTAATATCTATAAGAAGCAACCCCAATATTTATCTTGGGATTAAATATCTGTATTTTCTACTATACCTCAAACTTATACTCACAGAGAAGACATGTTAAACACAAATAGGAGGGAATATAAAGTTAGGCAGATGTGAGATGAACCTAGAAAATAGATTCCTAAGGATTTTGTTTAGAATTGCCTATTCCAACTTTACTACTCATTTACACTGCTAATTTTTATAGTATACAACTTTGGAAAATAATTTTTACTTAAGCTATTTTTCTATCTTGAATTTAGCCATCACGGAAACTTGATGTTTAAAACTCTTGTAAATAATCCATCATTGTGTGTGCCATTATGGTTTTTAAGTTAAATTGAGCAGCCAAATTTATATAGTCTGCACAATTTTGTATCCTTTTAATGATCATGAAAAATTATTAATGAAGAAATGCTGAACAAATTTTATATTTATGTGCAATATTTTATAGACCTATGTAGCAAAAGCATGTTTACACTGGCATTAGTTTTTTTAAATTAATATCTGAGTATTAAGTATGATAGAACAAGCAGACCAAAATCCTTAAGTTTTACAAAGCAGTTGGAAAATTTATATCCCTATTTAACAATCTCACTTGATTTGAAAGATGAGCCAAACTCCCAGGCACTAAATTTTCGGTCATGCCTTAACCTGGAGAGAAGCCATTTGGCTACAGCTGCAGAACTTCTTTGGAGACAAATGAAAGGCACATGGACAAATACACTGAACAGCTCATATTCTGCCTGCTTGTGAATTAAATCCTGTCATGGTAGCGGTTTTGAGGCTGTTGGGAACAGAAGTCTGGCTCCCAGTGTGTGTGGCTGACTGTGGGTGAGAACTGTATGTGTTTCAAAGAGTTTGAGTGTCCCATACCAGCCTCTGGGAGCCTTTGATGTTAACTGTCTGGGTAGAATTGGTTTTACAGGGAGGTGGCCGTCTCTATCATATAATTAGAGGGATGTTTCTCCAATCGTATCGTACAGATGGGTCTCCCTGCCACCCAGTAATGCCCCAGCTCTTGTCATCATGCCTGACTTTTGGCCAAGAGAGGATGGCTCCTCAAGATTTTCAGTCATAAGACATCCCTGAGAAAATGCACCTGTTGCCTTTTAAGCTAAGCTTTGTGAAGGGACACAGAACTCTTAGGGCTTGGACCACATAAGCCAGGTCGTTCAGACACCTGGAGGAAACTCAAGATGCCAGAGGCAAAACTGAGATCCAGAATAGCGCAAGGTGTGAGGGCTTCAAAGGCAAACAGCACCATCTTCACGGTCTCAGCCAAAAGGAGTACCCTCTAGAGGGGTGGGTACTGCTGCCTACAGGCATTTCCCACAGGGCCATCAGCGCACACTGTGGCCCTCTCTACCACTTCGGGTGTGGAGCCAAATGGAGGGAGGGAGTCACAACTGAGGTCAGGTGAACCCTCCAGCCCTCAGTTCTTGAGTTCTCCCTCCATGTGGAGGATGTTCTAACAAAGCACTGAGTGAATCTGCTTCTCATCATATAAAGCCAGTCACTTTTGTAATTCACCACGTGCTGTGCCTCTCTTGGAATCTATCTGTATTTCAAATATGCCTTTTGAAATTCCTGCAGCTGGTTTTTCAGACGTGGAAAAACATCAAGTTTTATAAACTTGGAGATTTTTTACAAAATAAACAACATGGGCTAATGGCCACTGAAGCCCCAATGATTTGAACTCTCTTCTTCTTTTATTTAAATACATGTTTAGATGTGTGTGAAGGATTTCATGTACCTATTTACCTTGTCACTAATAAAATTAAAAGTTAAAAGACATGATATTCTTTGTGGTTTGTTTCCCAAGCAACAGAAAGCTTTCCCACAATGAAAGACATCAAAGACTTCTGTCTTGACACCTGATTCTTTATTATAAAAACATTAAACATTGGAAGAAATTTGAAAGAGCAAGGACACAACTCTTCTTTGGGACGATGAACACGTTCTAATCTTAGATTATGGTGATGATTGCACGAAGGTACTAAAAAGTACTGCTTTAAATGGGTGAGTTTTATGGTACATGAATTAAATCTCCATACATATGTGTTTTAAAATGTGAAGTCAATTCTAATACGTACACTTATACAACTGATTTATTTTCTCAACACTGTCTTGCATATTTTGTCCATATAAAAATCTTCACTTTTTTATGAATATTTCCCTGGAGTTTTCAGTCAAATCAAAGGGTCTTCCTGTCCTCCAGTGGCATATGTTCTCATGACTCTTTTCCAGTGGACTGACCCTCCAAGCAAGCAGGAACTGTATCTTTTAACTTTTGTGTCTCCTGCACCTAGCACCACACCATCATCCGTTAAGTAGTCAGTGCTCAAAAATTGTTCTAAACTGAATGATTATACATATGTGCACATAATGATCATGGGGAAACGTGTACCTTTGTAATCTGCTCCTATTACAGAGCTCAGAGGTACACACATTTTTTTATATACTCCTATTTGTAATATTCATATAATGCTGTTATGATGGTTACCAAATGTTTTATTCAATTAGTAGATCATCATTTGTTTAACCCTCTTTTGGAAAGTTGTTCAGAGATTCACATACGATTAGCATTGAACTAAATACTGTCATATTTGAGGCTGCTTTTTGGTTATTTCAATGAATGAATTTCCCAAGAGTGAGGTCGTTTGGTCAAAGTACAAGAAGATTTGTGTAGTTCTTGATAATATGTTGTTTCTTAAGAGCACTAGATCAATTTGCATTAACCTAAATATACTGTTTCCTTCATACTTCATAATTGTGTCAGCATTTTAAAATATTTTGGTAGTTGTTTTCAAATCTTTAATTTGTATTTCATGGGGATTCAGTCTATTTAATGTGTACATTTAATTTTGAGTTCTAATGTTTATCAGCCATTCAATATAAACCAATATATTGGTCATAAAGATGTTTAAATACTTGCTACTTCTCTGGCTGGCATTCATGAATTCCAATGAAAAGAACATGGTGCCTGGATGCTTTCCTTATAGCCAAAAGCCAGCAATAGGATGAATCCTTTCCTTGATACTATTTCACTCACACTTTAAAGCCTAGACGTCGCTAAAAGCTCAGGGTGGTCTCGAGGTGTCTATGTATCCCAGATGAAAAAATGCAAAACCAAATATAAATTCAGGAATATTGTTGCTGAAGATCAAAGTGCCATCCCAGTACAAACAATCTGAGTGGGGCAAGACTTCCCCACAGCACACCCAGGATGATTGATAATGGGATAGCCCCCTCTGGTTAAAACCTGGGCATGCTAATAGTAGAGGGAAAAAAGAACTCTTACCATATCTTGTTGAGTAGTAACATGCTTTGTAGTTGGATGTATCCAGTGAGAGCTCAGTCTTCTTAACAAATTCTGCTGAAACACTCGGCACTTCCAGCCATGTTACATGTGGACATTTAACTTTGTCAATACATTCTAAAGGCTGAGTTGAGAGCTGGGTGCCTAGAGTGGGCAAAATGAAACAAGGACCACTCTTTGCAGAATTCTGCAACAATGTAGAATTCCCTCCCACGTTGCACACTTCCTCTGTGGAAGTTGCACTATACTCATACACCATACTTGTAGATTTCCACAGCAACCTGCTACCCTTGAGAACAGCCCAAACATGAAAACCTTTTGGTTGCTATCCATGAAGGCAAAGACAGTACCTCACTAGGATCTAATGTTCTCTTCCTCAAATAAAGCAGATTTTCGCCTTCAAAACTCTGATGGCATTCAAAGGTTGATTTCTTTAGCATGAAAAGTTAAAAGCATTGAAACATTTAAACTCATTTGGGAGCTTAGTAAGGTCCAAATGATGGCCCCCTGGGGATGTTTAAGTCAACAGCAAGTCCAGAATGGCCAGAGTACACATGGCACAACTCTGCTTGCCGTGTTAAGTTCTACCCCACCTTGTCCCCTCAACACCATCTGCCTGACACGCTGCCTTTGGCATTGTTTGTATGTTCTCTATTACTTAGGGTTGTTGGCCAGAACCCACATGCAAATGTGGCCTGATACTAGTGTCTCTTGACAATAACAACTCTTGGACTTAACTGCTACACACACCGTGGTATTATGATACAGTAGGAATGTTCTCAGTATCTCTGTGCTGTTGCTTATTTTGATTGTGCTCTGTGTTGCAAGAACCACAAAGTCATCAGCAAATCGTTCCACTGTCCACCTTTTAGACTCGGTTTGTTCTAAGCAGTCACAGTAGACCTCCCCGGATTTAAACCATTCGACTTCAACTTGCATTCACTGAATCACTATGTGGTATAAGCACATGTAACAATTTTTATTTCTGTAAGAAATTTTTAATTTTTGAAAACCCCCTCTATCTCCTCTGTGTTAGTTTCCTAGGGCCGCCATCACAAAGCAGTACACATTGGGTGGCTTAAAACAACAGAAATCTGTTGTCACACATTTCTCCAGGCCAAAAGCCCAAACCGGTGTGTCAGCAGGAACGTGTATCCTCTGAAGGCTCTAGGGAAGGGATTGCTTCCATGCGTCTTCTGTACCTTCTGGTTGTCTCAAGTGTTCCTTGGTTTGTAAAGGCATCACTCCACTCCTTCCCCCTTGCATGACATTCTCCCTACCTGTCCCACATCATCTTCTCTCTACATCTTGTCCATGTTTCCCCTTTTTATAAGGACACCAGGCATATCCGATTAGGGTCCAACCTAATGATCTCCTTTAACTTGATTACCTCTGTAAAGACTACGTCCAAATCCAGTTACATTTGAGATACTCACGGTTTAGGACTTCAGCACATCTTTTGTGGAGGATACAATTCAATTCAACATCTTCCTTGAAAAGTTTCTATTGTCCTGAACAGTTTGACAAGTGAACCTAAGATGACGAAGCACTTATGAATGAAGGACACGTTGAGGGGTTTAAAGAGAGTACCTTTCTATCAGCCTTTTGATTTCTACTCGCTCAGGTCATGGAGTGGTATTGCTGACATATAATAGATTTGTAAATATTTGTCTTCTGTTCACTTACTGCCTTCACATGCATATTAGATTAAGACAACTGCATTTTTCTAGAATTTACTCATCTGATTTGCTCTTCAATTTCTTACCAGCATCAGCCACATTCTCACTCTCTATTTTTCCCTTGAAATCATCTTATTCTCATGGACTATATGGGTAAATGTGAGTTTTGTGCTATGAGAGAGGAGCTCCCACACTTGGTGAAAACTAAAGGGTGTTGCTCACAGAATTAGTGGGACGTTGAAGGAAGGTCCCTATCTTTGGGCTATAGGGCTTGATCCTCACCACCACTGTTCAGCACAGAGAAAGCATGGCTTAGATCTGCAATGACTCATAGCTGAGAAAAAGATCTACCATATTGGATGACAAAACCAAGAAAGTAAGGCAAAGGTAACTAGCATTTACTGGGCCACACACTTGGCAGTAGGAAGGAGTCCCCCACAAAAAAAGGACAGGCCCTTCAGTGCCACAGATGGGCAATTCATCCATCCATGGACATCAGTTCAGTCTCACAGGATGGCCAGTAGGCAGAGTCACAGCCCATGAAGCCAACCTTCTCTCTTTCATCCCTCTTCTCACTATGTACCTTTCCAGTCCTTACCTAGGAATGTCTACCAGTTTACATGTGGGACAGCTTCCACACTAGGTGGAGGCCATTGACCATTTCCTTTCAGCCAGTGGACTTTCACCCCACGCTCAGCTCCAGAAATTCATCCTATCCCACAAACCCCAGGCATCAGCTAGGCTGTCTGTATTTCATTAATGATAGAAAAATACGATAATAGAAGTCTCAAGCATTCCCTGTGAGGAAGAGTGGAGTGAACTGGGGTGGTTTAACCTGGAGAAGAGAATGTCTAGGGGAAGTGTTATCTGACTGTAATTATCTGAGGAATTATTAGGAAGAGGAAGAAGAAGTAGAAATGATTTAAGGTTGGAATAATAAAAGTAGTAATAACAATAAAAATGGAAACGAGTTAAGCATTTACTTTATATGGAGACCTCGGCTAACTGCTTTATATGCATTTTTTATTTAACCTTCACAACCACCTTACGAAGCAGGTTCTAGGATTACCCTGTTTCATAGATGAATTGAGGTCTAGGGAGAGTAAGTAGCTTGCCAGTTTACAGCACAGCTGGTGGCAGAACTGACATTCAAACCCAGGTCTGCCTAACTCCACAGCCAGGACCATACAACCTGCCAATTTCAACAAATTGAGAGCAACTACCATATTCCATGCTGGAAGTAGGGAAGGAACCATTGAAGAAAATAGTTTTTCATGACCTTCGTGGTCTCTTTGAAATTCTCTCAGAACCAGAAAATTTAAAAATGAGGGCTTCTAGGTAAAAAGTGCGAAGCGCAAAGCTGAATCTTTCATCTAATTTACAGAGAGCTAGGAATCAGAACCACAGAATTTTGTCCTCTATTTTTGTTTTAATTTTAGTACACACACACATATTTATATGTATCGAAGTATAGTCAGTTCACAATGTTGTGTCAATTTCTGGTGTAGAGCACAATGTTTCAGTCATACATGAACATACATACATTCATTTTCATATTCTTTTTCACCATAACTTACTACAAGATATTGATTATAGTCCCCTGTGCTATGCAGTATGAACTTGTTGTTTGTCTATTATATATATATATCAGTTAGAATCTGCAAATCTCAAACTCCTTTCCCACCCCCTTTCCCCCTTGGTAACCATAAATTTGTTTTCTCTGTCTTTGAGTCTGTTTCTTTTTTTTAAACATTTTTTATTGAGTTATAGTCATTTTACAATGTTGTGTCAAATTCCAG